GAGAGAGAGTGAGTGAGAGTGAGAGTGAGTGAGTGAATGAGAGTGAGTGAGTGAGTGACAGTGATTCAGTGAGTGAGAGTGAGTGAGTGAGTGAGTCAGAGAGAGTGAGAGTGAGTGAGTGAGTGAGTGAGAGTGTGATAGTGAGGGAGTGAGAGTGAGAGAGAGTGAGTGAGAGTGTGAGAGTGAGGGAGTGAGATTGAGTGAGTGAGTGAGAGTGAGAGAGTGAGTGAGTGAGTGAGTGAGTGAGTGAGTGAGTCAGAGAGAATGAGTGAGTTGAGTGAGTGAGAGAGTGAGAGTGAGAGTGAGAGAGTGAGTCGGGATGCTCACTTTCAAAGAATGGAGGTAGAGAGACCATGATGAGAAGTCTGGTTAACGTACCACAACCTCCTCAAGCTCCTGGGTGGCTTCGATGAGCATCTTTTTGCCTGGTTCGTCATTCTCCTTGAGCTTTTCCTTTGGAGGCTCCTCTTCAGGCAAGTCTGGAGTTCTTTTGTTCTGGGGTTCTGTTAAAAAGAACAGTATTGGCCTCTTTTGCAAAAAACAAACATAGGATGCCTGCGCTATAGCTCTGGGCCAGGAATGAACTTCCCCTTCCCCCACACTCCCTATTAGAAAAGACCTGGGTTTGTTTGTTTTTCATTCAAAAGGACAAGAAAAGCACTCAAGATACAAATGTTACATATTTCTACCCTTGCTCCTAAAACATAATCCAAATGATACTACTCCTTGACATATAAAATTTCTCTTCAAGTTTAATTCCGTTTTCGCTATTTATGGATTTTGCAAATTGAATTTTGGCATTAAGTTGGATTTTCTGGGAAGCAGACTGAGAGAGAGACAAACACATATGGTGCTTGTTAGGGAGTGCTTTGGGGAACCCCCTTCAAGAGTGGAAGGAAGGAGTGAGCAGAGGCAGCAGCAGAGCTGTGAAGCTGCCCAGGGAGGTCGTGTGCACTCTGGAACCAGGAAGGCCCTCAGAGAGGTGAACTGGGTGAGAGCGCTCTCGTGCAATTCCACAGAGGGTCAGTCATGGGATATCAGCCGCCCTCAGAAGAAGGCATGCCTTTGGTCAGGGAAGGACTCCTGAGCAATCCTCAGAGATGTTTGACAGCTATGGGTTGTCTGCGTAAATCTGTGTCTTGCAGGACTGTATGCTTCCTTCCTGCCAAATTGAAACATTTGCCTGTCCGCGTCTGTCCTCTAAGAATTTACTCTGCTCTTTTCCAGTTACCAAAAGTTGACCACGAAGGAGGTTTTCATGATGGTCTAAACCCCGATTTTAGTGATTTCACAAATCCACATGTTAAGTCTCATGTAACTGTACACTCCCCCCAAAGAGTTAATTTTACTGTTTGGTTGGGTTTGGGGTTTTTTTTTTCTTTTGCTTTATACACATTTTAAACATGTAACAGAGAAGTCTTATCTTTTACAGAGTATGTGCTGGAGTATGTCAAATGATACAATGTCTGATATATTTGCTTCAAAATAATATCTGAAGTGGGGGGTGAGTAAAAATTCAAGTAAAGATGAGGACAATTGGCCCTAACCTAATAATTAAGTGAAACTGGATGAGGGGTACATGTGTAGTATTCACTACACTTTCTTCTCTACATTTGAGCACTTGAAATTTTCTATAGAAAAAAAGAATCCATTCGCGTGCCGGAATACAGTGTAACCAATGAGGTGGTGCTATGTGTAGACAAAGACTACGAGATATTTTAAGATTTAAAAAACAAAAGCAAACTGCAGAACCAATTGCTACTTTGTCCTCTAACATTACTACAGGGAGCCCTATAGCACTGTGCTTACGTGCTCAGCTGCCAATGCTAAGGGCAGTGGTTTGAACCCACCCCAGCCCCAGTCACTCTGCAGAACAGTGGTTCTCAACCTTCCTCATGCTGCGACCCTTTCATACAGTTCCTCATGTTGCGGTGGCCACCAACCATAAAATTATTTTCGTTGCTACATCATAACTAATTTTGCTACTGTTATAAATCGTCATGCAACTATCTGATATGCAGGATATATTTTCATTGCTACAAACTGAACATAAATAAAGCATAGCGATTAATCACAAAACAGTATGTAATTATATATTGGGAATATTTATGTGTCTTCTGATGGTCTTAGGTGTCGCCTGTGAAAGGGTCGTTCAACCCCTAAAGGGATCATGACCCCCGGGCTGAGAATCGCTGCTGTAGAAGAAAGCTGAGACAGTCTGCATCCATAACAATTACAGCCTTGGGAGTCCTGTGGGGCAGGTTGTAGCCTGCAGTCACCATGAGTCAGAAGTGACTTCACAGGAGTGGTGGGAGTTGGAACTGACTTGATGGCAGTGGGTTTGGGTGGGTTATGAGCAAAAGGGAGACATAACAGACAAGAGATAGTAGGGGGAAGACCAACAGGACAGGGTAGATTGGGAGAGAGAATTCATAAGGTAACCCTATTGGATAGAAATCTAGGAGCAAAATTGCAAGGTCTAAGGAAACATGATTATAATGTTATTAGTCTAAATGCCCGCCAGAAAAAGGGTGCCAATTCCCTTTGACTAACAAGTGCCAGAGCATACTTGTTTTTATATCCTTCACAAACTGGCTAGTGTCCATCTGGTTAACTTTTTCACTATGTGGTGGGACAAAGTGCATTTCCTTAGTCTAACTTATTCCATAGGTAACAGAAAATGTCTGCATTTGTTTCTTGGTCATCTATTTCCTTTCCTGTGTACTTCTTCTTGTTCCATTTTCTTTTGCCTCTTCTTCAATGAGGGGGCTCCCAAAAGTTTGTGCAAGAATTCCATTATCAAATATTTAACTCCATTTTCCACAAACTATTATAAACCCTCCTATTAATTTTCTTTTCTTTATTTCTAAGGAGCTCTTTGGACACTAGGGAAACTAACTGTACAGTGTTCCCAGTTTACCCTCTGACTTTATCATTATAAGTTTCTAATTTTTTTGTGTAATCAAACATATACATTTTTTCTTAGTCTTCTTGGTTTTATAGTGATGTATTGCCAAGCTAATCTTAAAGCACATAATCTCCCATATGTCTTGGTCACTTTAGCATTTCCATTTTTAGACTTAAATATTTTATCATCAAAATGCAATTTTCAGGACTAGGGTGAATCCATCTTACTTGTGTCCCTGATCTCAGCTTGTAGAATTCTCCCTCTTGCTTACTCCATTCCAGCCATACTGGTCTCTTTGTTGCTCCAAATACATGCCAGCCACACTCCTACTTCCTACTTCACTTGTCTTTCTCTCTGCCTAGAATAAATAGTCTTTCCCAGACATCCACCTGGCTCACTCTGGCAAGCAGGAGTGCTCAATGATCAGCTCATCCCTTTTTGCCTCATGGAAAACCACTCCCTCCTCCACTCTTCTTTATGCAGCTTTACTTGAACTGTCCATGCCCAGCCAGCACCCTAAGATCCCTGGCTGCATCGGCTGCCTTTCATTTCATTATCTCCCTGCTGGAGGACAGTGCCTACCACTCAAAAGTCTGGGGAACCCAAAGACGCTCAGATGCCACTTCTACCAAAAACAAAAGCCCTACAAAGCATTCTGGAAATGTAACATTTGCCAAAACAAAAACACTTCTACCAAAAAACAAAAGCCCGACAAAGCATTCTGGAAATGTAACATTTGCCTCCCTAGACTCCCAATTCGTTCACGGATATCCCATAAACCAAGAAAAGCAAAGGGCAGAAGGCTGTCGACATGCCTCGTGAAACAAAGGGGTCGGGCAGTTTCAGAGGTCAAGACTAGCCGGAGCAACAGGGTAACTAATACCTTCCACAGCTCCGTACCGAGTTCTAGCCAGGCCTGAGCCGCAACTCCGAATTCCACAGCTTAGAACTTCACATCACCGTCGACAACGGGACCAGAAAAGCCGGCCATGCCACGTGAGGACCTCCCTCTGGGTCTAAGCCACCTTCCAACCGTGGGCATCTCTGGGTGACTAAGGGACTCAACATTCCGGGAAGCCACGCATGAACCGCAACGGGCCTGGCGGCGCTCTCCTTTCAACCGTCTCGAGTAGAATCGACTGGAATGCTGACATTAGGAATTTTTTCACATCTCTGAGAGCGCTGAAAGATTCTGCAAAAAGGCCTGCCGACGACCCGTCTTGAGAAGCTGGCGGTAACGTGGAAAACAATTCCCCTCTTCCTGAACCGTCTGAATTTTTGAACCGTGTGTGTTCCCTATTTTACAGTCATTGATTGTTTTGATGGGGGGCGATGGGGTGCCATTTTACCAGGATGTCACATGGGATGGTGAGAGGGATGCAACCTAAGGGCACAAAATGGGCGCCTTACGGGCAGGTAAAACGACACACCTCTCCCCCCCACCCCACCCCCCACCCATCACAGGTGTCCGCGGAGGGCTCACCACCACTATCGGCAGCCTCGAGGTCTTCCTCGGCTTTCCGCTTGGGTTTCTGCGAGGCCAGGCTGGCGGGGCCGTCCCCCAACAGGTACTTGTGCTCCTGGCCCCGCAGGTGCTTGAGGTAGCGGTCCCTCAGGGCCTGCCACGAGTGCTGCGTGAGCGCGCTTTTCTCCAGCGCTTTCCACAAGCCGTTGCCGGTGACGGAGCTAGGCGAGCGGGCATTGTCCTTTACGTAGGTCAGGATGGCCACGTCGTCGTCCTCGGTGAAGGCGATCCGGCCCGCGAGGGGTTCGGGACCGGGATCGGCGACGGCGCCGCCCTCAGCCGGCGCTCCGGCCTTGGGGTCCCGGGCCGGGTCGGCCGCGGGCCGCAGTCGGTAGTCCTCCAAGGCGAGCCGTACGTTGCGCTCCACGCAGTCCAGGACGTACTGCGTGGACACGAAGTCGCCCGCGGCCTCGGCCAGCGCCTCCCCGGGTTGGGCCAGCAGCACGGCGCCCGGCTCCTGCACCCGGCACAGGGTGCCGCCGCCGTGCAGGATGAGCGTCGAGAGCCGCCGCTTCGCCGGGCTGGGCCGCACGTAGAAGGACACGGAGCTGCCGTCCTCCTTCACGAACAGCGTCGCGGAGTGGGTGGGCCCGCTGGGGTCCTTGCTCAGATCCAAAGCCTCCGCCATCGCCGAAGCCCGTGGCACCCACGGCGCGGCGCCCTCCGGTCTCCGCGGGGCGGAACGGTCAGCGCTCGGCGCGCGCCAGCCGAACCCTGCGCAGTCGCGGCTGCGCGCCGGCAGTGCCCGCCCCCTTCCTTCCCGGAAGAGGCGGGGCTTCGGAGCCTTCCTGGGAAATCGCGTGGGACCCTGGTCACTTTCCGGTCGGGCCGTCGGGCAACATGGCCGCTGTGCAGGAGGCTGAAGTGCAAGTGGACGGCGGCGAGCCGAAACTCAGTAAGAAGTAAGTGCCGCCGCGGAGAAGGGCCTTGCGGCTGGAGGGTGGGCTGGGAGGCCATTCGTGGCGGGCGGCTCCCGGGGTCTCCTTCCCGCTCCCCTGAGATCGGACCTGCTGGGACGTAGTGTGGGGCGATCGGGGACCACCTCCCGGCCGTGTCCCGCGGGATTTCGGCGCTGGCATGCGACCCCCTGCCTACTCTTGGGGTAAAGCGATGCGTTGATTAGCGTGGGAACTGACAGGTAACAGTAGAAAGAAAAGCGAAACCGTCTTTCCTTCGTTTCTCCAGAAGGGAATGCGTTACCGTCTAACTGGACCACGCCCCAATAGGGAGGTTGGCGAAATTAAAAAGTGTCCAGGCATTTCAAAAACACCTTCAGATTTTCCTTGGCCTCATCTTTCAGAGCCGTTTGTATCGAAGAGATCGGTCCTAACGATGCCGTGCGCACGCCCACGTGCATTCTCCCAAAAGATCTGTGGGGATAGATTGAGTCACCTACAGTTAGTTAGTTGCCACCCAGTCGGTCCCAACTCGTGGCGACCCTGTTGAACCCTGCCTTATTCAGCCAGGTGCACCAAACTGCACTAAACTATGCCGTATATATCCTTATTCCAGCAAACCAAACTCATTGCCATTGAGTCGATTCCAACTCCCAGCCACTCCATAGGACAGAGGAGAACTGCCTTAGTGGGTTTCTGAGACTGTGGCTCTTTATGGGAGCAGACAGGCTCATCTTTCTGTCTCTAGGTGGGTTCAAACCCATTGACTGAGGCAAGCAGTACAAGGCATAGCTCACCACCACAGATCCTTAGAGTATGAAGATTAGCAGCCTCTTTTTAATGGCAGGGTCTGGCTTCTATTCATTCTCTAAATGCTTCTCAACCCGGGTTCCTCATTTGAGCCATAGAACACAGGTAATGATTTGAGTAACTGTATTTTCAGGACTTCCAAAGATAGCTGGTACCATTCCAGAGGCATACGAGGGAAGTTCATTTATGGCACAGGGTGAATGAGTTTTAATTGCAGCAGGGTCTGATTCATTTGCTGAGCCCCGATGGTGTTGCTCTAGGTACTCAGTGAGTCAAAACAAGTGTTTGTATCCCTGGGTTTATGCTTTGAGTGAATTCCAACTCATAGCAAGCCGACATACGACAAGGTAGAACTGCTTCTGTGGGTTTCCAAGACTCTTTAGAGGAGTGGAAAACCTCATCTTCCTCCTGTGGGGCCGCTGGTGGTTTCAAACTGCTAACCTTATATTTAGCAGTCCAATACATAGCCCTCGATGCTACCAGGGCTTCTTCAAATGCATTAGAAAATTTTTAAAAGGAGGCATCTAAATAGATGGTTTTGATAACACCCTAATTTGCCTTTCTGGGAGTGATCTGCTGGAACTTGATCTCGGACTAATCCCACTGCAGGAAAAAGGATTGTACTTTGATCTGATGCATGATAATGGGGTTGTGGGACTCTGAAGCGAAAATGCCTTGTTAGCAAGGTTTCCAAAGGAGAGCTGTGTTTCAAGGTAATTTCAGAAACTGGCCAGCCCCTTTCTTCTGACTTTTCATTGAGCAATCACAGCTATGTCATGAACACTATATGTGCCAGGCATCGTGCTAAAACGGTACGATTTTTCTCTCTAAATAATAACCCAGCTGTTGTTTATTAGGTACACTGTTGAGTTCCTGTGTAAAGAAGTGTGGGAAACAGAAGGATTTCTCCCAAGTTGTCTCCCCCAAATATATGCCAGACTTAGCTGCTTGAGAATGACTGTACATGTGGAGGTCATCAGGAGTAGATTAGGGGTTATTCTCCCTAAGAGCTATCAGCCATCTAGACCAATCACACACCACTGTTTATCCCACAACAAGTAGGGCCCACTCCCTTCTGAGAAGGACAGTAGTTGTCTGTTTCCTTGTAGGATCCTGACACCGGAGAGGTCAAACCCGCTCAAGGATGACCCAGGTTAGGCTGCCATCATTAATCTAGGGTCCGCCCATCTTGTCACATGTATACCCCTAGACCTTCCCATTCCTATAGGCACACCCCTAGCTCCTCCCCTTCCTGTTACGCTTATGCATATCATAGATCCCCTTCCTACAATGTGTATGTCTATTGTACTGCCCAGTCCTGTGACATGTGGTTACCTGTAATCATGTCCCCCTAAAGAGATAGAATGCTTGGTTAGCAAGAAAGAAAGCACTCTCCCCAGTCCTCAGGGTCGGGAGCTCTCCCCCGGTTCTCGGGGCTGGAGGCTCCTCCTGCTCTCATGGCCAGGTTCCCCCCATGAGGACCACCAAGCGGGGCTGAGGTGAGCATGCTACCATGAATTGTGTCTGACTCCACTTACTCCAATCTCTCCTCGACCTCTCATGCTCTCTATGACTTTACTATAATCTTTACTTATTATCGCTGTATAATTGCGCCTACCGGACCTGTGATGATTTGTGGGGGACCCCCCTCTCCTTTCACCCCACAAAGAAGCATGAAACACTACCTCCTAGTCCTGTCCCATCCTGGGGATGTGTTAGTGTCCATTTCTTAAATGAAGCAACTGAAGCCCTGTTATAGTAAACCAGCCTCTATGGGGTCCGTAAGCGCAACTGTGCGGCAATAATATATAAAGATCACAGTAAAGTCATAGGAGATAGGAGAGACGATAAAATAAAGGCGTCAGACACATTTCGTGGTAGCATGCTCACCTCCGGGATGGCCATGATCTCAGCAGCCAGGTCCTCACAGAAAGAAGAGGAGGAGAGAATCTTTACACCTTGGGATATTTGTAGGTAGCCATAAGACATGCATATTCAGTAGTTACATACGTCACACGGTGGGTGTTGACCACAGTAAAGTCCCTGAGCTCCCAGGTGGGGAAATAACTGCATTGGGGGAGGGGAGGGGTGCTGCGGCTGGAGGAGAGTTCTGCTTCTATAGGGAGAGACAGAATCGACCATGTGCTCACTTGAAGGCAACATAGCTGTTAGGGGAGAATCTGTGGGAATCATATTTAAAGCAGGATAACGTGCTTCGACTTTATCTCTAATTTACCAAAGTGGTGTCTTTCCTACCGTGGAATATCAGCTTTCCAGATTCCCTGTTATAAGTTAGGGAGTATAGGTCCGTGTTAGGTTTCCCACAAAGCCCTAGGTGATTGAATACAGTGCTGAATTGTGCAGAGTTAAAGCTGGCCTAGCCCAGAGTGGAGATTTAAAATCAAAGGCTGATCTCCAATATCCATAGAGTACTACTGACTACATCATACTGCCTGCCTTACCTTGTCTTGAAGAGTCCCCCATTGATACTGAATATTCCTATCATGACCATGAGCTAAATTTTTGTAAATTGACATTTACTTCTGTTTCATAACTCTTAGAAATTCCATGGTATGAAATCTTTAGTAAGCATTATATTTTGCCAGGTGAAAATTTCCCCAATTTTAAAAACAGATTGACTCAGGTGGTTCAGCCCCACCTAGAAGGCCTTCCTCTGGTGTGGCTGAAAGAAAGAAGAGTATCCCTTCCAGCACAAAGACTCTAACCGTGGTCTAGTCTTGGACCCTTCCTGAAGCCATCCTTCCCCTGGTTCCTAGAGCCCCAAGCAAATGTTGTCTTTGGGATTTTGTGCGGCTGGTTTTCAGTTCCATCTGGAGTTTCCACTCGTGCCTTGGAGTCTCTGTTGACTCGTGGCGCCCCTGTAGGGCAGGGTCAAACTGCCCTGTGTTCGTTTTTGAAACTGTAACTTACTGCACTAGAAAGCCACCACATCTTTCTCCCTCGGTTTGGCTGGTGGTTTCATGACCTTGGGGGTCACAGGTCAACATGTCACCACTACCCCACCTGGGCTCCTTGGGTCATGGTAATACAGTATTTCTTCTCATTGTATGCTGCCAGGTGTTCACCTCCTGGAGGGAGACCGCTGTCAGGGGCTTCAGAAGCTCCCTCTCACACTGGGGCTCCCATTTTTACACCACTATAATCCATGTGACCCTTTCTCCTTGTAAATGATTGGACCTCACGTGTCCACCTGTTGCACGCAGCTGGACAGGAAGGAACGCCCTCTGTCCTCGTGGTCCGCACAGTGGCATTCATAGGGTCGCTGGCGTGAAGTTCCATGGTGCACTGTAAGAGCGGGCGAGCCCCACCCCCACACCCATAGAGCCAGAGGAGTGTTGGTGGGGGGGGAGGGTGTATGTCCTGTCTGTCACCTCTTACCCCGCCTCTCTGTTTCCCGTTAGGTGGTGGTAATCCTTAGTTCCGGGGTGTTCTGCCATGTTGATGCAAGCTGCTGTAAGGCTTGTTAGGGGGTCCCTGCGCCGAACCTCCTGGGCACACTGGGGTCAGAGGGAGCTGCGACTGGGTCAACTTGCTCCTCTCCCAGCGTTTCACAAGGACAAGCCACTTTCTGATAAAGGAAGGTTGGTGCCAGTTCCCTTCTTTTTTTGATCTGGTAGCAAAAGTTGTCCATGCGGTCAGTCCCTTAGCTGGTTGGTAAGCCTGGCAGAGTCTTTGGGGCTTGTTGCTAAGGAAACAAGCAGCTTTGTTACCCAAACCAAGAGTCCTTCTCGCTTCCGTTTCATTCAGATTCTCTCACCGTAGCTTGTTCTTCTGATTGCTGTGCGTCTTACTCTCCGACGACGGTGCTGTAAAGAGCCGTGCTGTTGAATACAGATTTTCCAGTGAGGGCTCTTTTCCCTATCCTGTCTGTCTTGGGATTTGTTTGCCCTGGAGGTTATTTGGCTTCCAGTTTCAGTGCTTACCCCAGGACCTTTCTGGCTTCTGTGTAGGATTTATTTGCTATCAAGAGCAACGCCTAGATGAGTGAAAACCAGTTCATCCTCTTAATCCGAGGAGGAACTTGCAGCCTTCGATGCCCCTTGAGGGAATGGCTGGACCACAGTGGTTGCACGCCGACCTGGCAAGCCTGTCTGCACAACCGTTAAAGGCAAATTGATCGTCAGGAAGAGTCACCTTTACTTTGAAACCATCAGAATTAGTTTTACTTCAAACCCCAATTGCTTTTTTAGTTGTTATTATAAACTCATTGGAAAGGATGTGCCCTGGTGCCAGACAAAACAGCAGGTGCGACCAGGATCACTAGTCACAGATCAGCATTTCAGAATGTTTGATGGTCGTTGAGGGCATGAAAGAATGAGCAATTCATTCTCTCTGTATAAGTATCAATTGGTTTGGGGGTTCAGATAGCAAGTTCAGGTCATACAGAGACCAACTTGGCCAGAATTGCTCTGGTTTTGAGCTGAAGGTAACACGTTTTGAACTGGAGCCTTGGCTGAGTGAAGGGTTTGAATCCCTATCATTCCTGTCCTGAGTGCAGAGTGGAACTTCCTGATAATGAAGGATCCAGAAAAGCTCACGTTTGAGTCTCACACCATTGAGGAAAAGTCATTTGCCCAAGGGCACCTAATTGGTAGGCAGATGTGTGAGGATTTCGTCCGAGCCTTCTGACTCTAAGAATTTATTGTCGATACTCCACACTGCCCTGTACACCACTCTGCCCAGTTCGCTGCCAAAACCAGACGATGGTAAAGTGGGGCATTGGCTCAAAGCCATTCTAGGAGAGATGGTCAGTGTGGTGATTCCCTGAGCTGAGGTTGTCCAGCCCCTCAGGACTAACTCATTTCCTAGGGAAGAAGGGAAGGGGCAAGCATAGCTGGAGCTGTTGCTATCTCACACGTCTGAGCTGGTGCTCTAATCCCAAACTCACTGCTGTCAAATCGATTACACTCCTAGAGACCCTGGATCGGGTTTCTGAGTCTGTACATCTTTGGGGGAGCAGCCAGCCTCCTCTTGTTCCTATGGAGCAGCTGGTGGTTTGAACTGCTAACCTTTCAGGTGGCGACCCAGTGCTTAGCCCACAGCCCCACCAGGGCCAGGATCTGCATATTCTCCAGAGGCTCCCAAATGACTAATACTCAGCCCCCAGAGCATTGGGTTAAGCATTGAACTGCTGACCAGCAGGTTGTTGGTTTGAGCCCACTAGCCACTCTGCAGGAGAAAGAAGAGGCTGTCCGCTCCCAGAAAGATTTTTGTCTCAGAAACCCTAAGAAGCAGCCCTACTCAGTCCCTCAGGGCCCCCATGAGGCAGAGTCCACCTGACGGCAGTGGGTTTGGTTTTGGGGTGCTCATGGAGCACTAGTCTAATTGGCTTGGGAAAAATCTGCCCTGGTTTTCTAGAAAGCCTATTTTCTCTACTCAAAATATAAATTACTCTGTAGGATTTTCCTTTTCCAGTGCATTGTGATTTTAGTCAGGACCCAATCAATTATCACGGGCCTGAGTTCGGACGCATGAACCTTATATGTTTTCCCCGTGTCTCTTTCACTTGACTGAGCTACTGGTGGTGAAGTGTGAACTTTGAGGCTAAAGGACCGTGCAAGGGCATGGTCCCCTGGCAATTCCTAGTTTTTTGTTTCTGTTTTCTTCTTTTTTTTTTTTAATCAAATACTTTTATTGGGGCATATTACATCCCTTATCACAATCCGTACATTCATCCAGTGTGTCAAGCACATTTGCACATCTGCTGCCGTCATCATTTCAACGCATTCTCTTCCCCCTTGAGCCCTTGGGATCAGCTCCCCATTTCGATTCCTAGTGTTAAGAAGTGGTTCCAGGATTAAGTGGAGGACTTTTCCAGGAACTAGCCTATTGATCTTCCTCTCCTTCCACCAGTGAACTAAAAAGACGCCTGAAAGCTGAGAAGAAGGTAGCCGAAAAGGAAGCCAAGCAGAAGGAGCTCAGTGAGAAACAGCTGTGCCAGGCGGCAGCTGCTTCCACCAACCACAGCACCGACAATGGTGTTAGCACCGAGGAGGAAAGCCTGGACCCAAATGTGAGTCCTCCTTCTCTGGGCCCCCATCCAGTGGGGTCGGGCCTTGGGGTGCCTCTGAGGAGGCTGATGGAGAACTCTGGGACCAGACTATAAGAAGGACCAGTGATTCATTTGATGAATAAGCACTTCAGGTCCCTGCCACTCCATCTGGTCAGGAGCACAAGCCCTGAGCATTCATCCACTGCCTCCTGACAGCCATTTGGGAGAATCCGCTGCCAAGTGACTCACGCGTCTTCCTTGGACCTAGCTGGGCCTTAGAGCCGTCCCAGAGCCACGTATCTCCCTAAAAGGACACAAGGGTTGGCGGTCGACCAGGGATCATCCAGCATTGTCCCATAGGTCAAATCCCCAGTCCTCTTTGTGAATAGAATTGTGTGGGAGCACGGCCGTGCCTGTGGGTTAGAAGCATGTAAGACTGCTTTCACATGCCCACGCAGAGGTGAGTGGTAGCCTCAGAAAGGGCTGGCCGGCCATATCCAGACCTGTGGTTTCAGAAGCAGAGACGGGGCTCGGTTTACAAAACCTCAGCATCTTGGAGCCCTTCTGAGGCAGACTGCCGTTCTCTCTTGTCTGTCGGGTGCAACTTCTTGAAAACCCCTGTTTTTCTTCCTGTAGCAATACTACAAGATCCGCAGCCAAGCAGTTCAGCAACTGAAGACCAGTGGGGAAGACCCCTACCCCCACAAGTTCCACGTGGACATCTCACTCACACACTTCATCGAAGAGTACAGTCACCTGCAGCCTGGGGACCACCTGACTGACATCACCCTCAAATTGGCAGGTAGGAGGGCCCTCTGGCAGTCTTTGGAACTCCCGTAGCACGCAAGCTTCTCCTGCAGAGTAAGGGTCGGGTAGGAAGTGGGGTGCTGTCTGACTGCTCAGAAAGAAGCAGGCACCCTTGAACCTGGGACCCCATCTAGACAAGGTTATGCTGCAGAGAAGGGAGCCTTCTTTGAGGGCAGCTCCTGGCCTGTCACTGCTGCTAGTGTCCTAAGGAGGACTTCCCTTCTGGAAGCAAGGTTCCTAAGATGTCCAGTCTTTAGTCTAAGAATGTTCTCACTGAGACTCTGTGAAGGACCTTCCAGAAGTTTGTGGAGAAAATGGAATGAAAAGCTCGTGGGTTTCTGTCCATGGACTTTTTGAAGCCCCCTTGTATTTCTGAGAAATGTTTTGGGGGTTATAATATCTTGTGTGGACCTTCTTCACCTTATTTTTTTTATTAAATCCCTTTATTTTTCTTGCCAAAAAGTAACATTCAAAGAAGCAGAGAGGGAAAAATTCAACTATCCATAATTCCACCACCCAGAGAGAACCCCTGCCAACCCCTTGTGTGTATGTATGTGTGTATGTGTGGTGTATTAGTGTGGATTTTCTCTTAATTTGCAAAAAGTGAGACGGTTTTGTATTCTGTTACAGTCAGCCGTCTTAATGCATTCAAACCCCTGAGTGTACATTCCTCTACTCGCCTTTCCTCACGGGCTGCGCGTGGGCTCAGGCTTGGCTGCACTGGAACTGATCTGATGGTTCTGGTTTCGGTAGGGCCGTGTTTTCCGCGGTTCAGGGATGGATCCTCGGTGTAGTTCATGTAGATGGTTCCAGTGGTTTACTGTTGGCATCAAACCACAGTGAGCTTTTTTATTAAATAAAAATAGAACAGAGGATGCTCTACAAAGTAAATACGTAGCTTGCCAAATTACCATACCGAGGAAAATGCTTTTGTAACCCCCACCCAGATCAAGGGCTAGCACTTGGCAAGCCGTCCGGAGAAAGCCGACCGGGTCTCCCTCACGTCTGGTCCCCACCTCACTTCCACCCCAGGAAACCACTGTGTGGCTTTTTGCAGTCTTTTCCATTCTTATCATTTATACTTTGCCCTCCGTGTGTTTCTTTCCCTTACAAACGATTTGGTGGTGGATCCCGGGCGGACGGCCATTGTGCCCGGTCCAGGTGTAACTGGCTGTGCAGCCTCCAGGGTGCGCTCCTGGGCTCTGGCTTCCTGCAGATCAGCAGCCGACCCCGGCGCGTGCTCAGACACAGACTTAATCCTTCCTTGGCTGGGCTGTCGTTGGTCGTGTTTTCTTTCCTCGGGAGGCAAGTGGTGTCCAATTGCCTCTTGTTCTGTGACTCTCGGTACCTAGACATGTGTCTACAGCAAGGACCGCGAGCTGAGGGTCTTCTCAGCCTGCCATTGTTTTATCTTCGTTTGTTCAACTCCACTCACGCGCTGTCGTCAAGCTGCTTTCGGCCCACAGTGACCTATAGGACAGAGGACAGCTGCCCTTAGGTTTCTGAGGCTTTAGATCTTTTTTTTTTTTAGTAGTTTTATTAGGGGCTCGTACAACTCTTATCACAATCCATACATACATCAATTGTGTAAAGCACATTTGTACATTCACTGCACTCATCATTCTCAAAACATTTCCTCTCCATGGCTTTAGATCTTTAAGGAAGCAGACAGCCTCCTCCTTCTCCTGTAAAGCAGATGGTAAATTCGAACCACTGACCTCGCAGTTAGCAGCTCAGGTTTCTTTCCTCACTTATTAATTCAAATAATTTATAGAAACACATTTCCTTTTTATTTACCCAGTTTTCAGTTAACAAATTGACTTCATTCATCCTCAAGAAGTTTTTAAAAAAAAATTCTGAGCTTTCTTGCTTGCTTCGGCAGCACATAGATTAAAATTGGAAGGATAAATATACTGAGCTTTAAATCTTCATCCAGTTCACACTTGGATTATTATACAACAGCCACCCAGATGACAGAATAATACTTGGCCGGTTTTAAAAGTTCAGGTCAGTAAGTATTAGTTCACTAATTTAAACATATGCATGTGGTGTGGGTTTTCTGTTCGCTTCACTTACTGCCCTTCCTGAGACCCAATCTGCCCATCTCTGGCCAGTGGGAGCCTTCCCGAAATGCCACTCTACTCCCTGTTGGCTCTCCCTTTCATGATGAGAGCTTGGCATGGACTTGACTTCAGCCCTTCTCTATTGCTGATTTTTAAAAGGAAGTTTGATCCACTGTTTGGAATAGCTTTTCCAGCGTCTCCAGGCTCCCTCTTCTGGTGTGTTTGGGAAGTGTTAACAGTGGGGGAGTCACTTACTCTCTGGGACGCCCTGGCTCAGCACCCCTTCCTCAGTCTTGTTGGAGCTTTTCTTTCTTCTGTCCCTGTCTCTTTGTGTGGGGCCTTGTCTGGAAGGGCGCCCTGAATGCTAAGGTAAGGCCTTCCTGGGGGCTGCGCTTCTCCATCCCTAGACTTCCTCCACGCAGCCCGCTCATTGTACTCACCAGTGTGGCAACCCCTTCCCAGGTCCCACGAGGATCCCTACTGGTGTAGTGGGTGAAGCACCTGACTCCTGGTTCAAATCCACCAGCTTCCAGAGGAGACAGATGAGGTGGTCTGCTTCCACCCAAATGTATAGCCTCAGACACCCTACGGAGTGGTTCTACTCTGTCACACAGGGTGCTGGGAGTCATAATTGATTTGGGGGCTGTGTGTTCTTCACGGGAGGATTCAGGAAGCTCCAAAAAATGTACGGCCTCCAACACTGCCATCTTCTAAGACTCCCGCGAACATGTTTAAGGCCACCCCTCTGCCCCTCTTCACTGTCTTGAGTGGGGTCACTGGCACAAGGGAAAAGGCTGAGCTCAGACCTCGGGCCCTGTTTGATGATCTGGTTTATTCTGCCCCCAAAGGAAAGTTGGCACAGTAGCGTGGAATGCGTTCTGGGTCTGCCCATCGGTATCTCTGCTGTTCCTCTTCCAGGTCGGGTCCATGCCAAGAGAGCTTCTGGGGGTAAGCTCATCTTCTACGACCTGCGAGGAGAGGGGGTCAAATTGCAGGTCATGGCCAACTCCAGGTACGTGGAAATGCCCAGTCACAGCCCTTTCTAGACAGACAGAGCAACCCACTGAGAATAGAGACCCACGCGGTCTCATTTTGTCAGTGGTGGTCAGAGTTAGGGCAGGAAGAAGTGGGATCCCTTTGGGTATGGCCAAGAAGCAAGATCACGGTCATCTGGTCCCTTGAGAGTAATGACTGCGCCTCAGGTTCTGTCGGCAAGAAAAATAAAAGATAACAACTTTTAATAACAATTGTCCTGGTGCCTGAGATTCTCCTTGGGCTCACATTATCCAGTCTTTAACGGTTTGGTGAGAGGTTCTGGAGTAAGCCAGTGATTTTTTTAAAATCTGGGCAGTTTTCCTTTCATGCTGAATCGTTTTCCTTCCGTCCAGGAACTATAAATCAGAAGAAGAATTTATTCGTATCAATAACAAACTGCGTCGGGGAGACATAATTGGAGTGCAGGGGAACCCAGGGAAAACCAAGAAGGGGGAGCTGAGCATCATTCCCCATGAGATCACACTGCTGTCCCCCTGCCTGCACATGCTGCCGCACCTGCACTTTGGCCTCAAGGACAAGGTGGGCTCTGGCTTCCTCGCCGTGGCTCCCAATATGCATTCGCTCATTTTGGCAAATCCGTGATTTCTAACTGCTTCCTTTGGTTTAGGAGACACGCTATCGCCAAAGATACCTGGACCTGATCCTGAATGACTTTGTGAGGCAGAAATTCATCGTCCGCTCTAAGATCATCACGTATATCAGAAGTTTCTTGGACGAGTTGGGATTCTTAGAGGTGAAGAAGGAGCGTCCCTTCCCTGACACCTGATGGGCTGTGCTTGCCTTCAGTGCCCCTTCCCTCCCAGTAATTGTCGTGCTGTGAGGGCAGGAGCTGGGCACCGTGTAGGATAGTGGACATGTTAACAAGGTTGTGCAGTTCTGTGCTTTACCAAGTGGTCTGGCTTTTCTGCAGCTTTAAAAAATGTTTTAAATTATGCACATGACAGGCAAGCACATGTTACTGTAAACCACATTCACATCGCACAGGCTACATGTAGGGTAAAAAGAGCTCATCCTCGTGGTCTGCAGACCAAGTGGTTTTCCCCATCTTTTTAGATCGAAACTCCCATGATGAACGTCATCCCAGGGGGAGCGGTGGCCAAGCCCTTCATCACCTACCACAACGAGCTAGACATGAACTTGTATATGAGGATTGCTCCAGAGCTCTACCATAAGGTAATCGATGGGCACCTTCCCCTTAGAAGGTTAGAGCCACCAGGAGAGGAATTCTCATTTGTCAGGTGTGCCATTGTGACACTGCGAGGCTTTCTGTACAAGGTTATGGAGCATCCCGGGGCAGAAGGCAGAGGGATTGTCTCTCCTGGATTCACAGATCCTCCTAGACTGCACTTGTTACCCCGATAACAATATTAAGGGTAGATGATTCTTGCCTTTTCTAGAAGCAATCCTTTACTGCTTCTCTGGACGCTGGGAATATTTATCTTCAAATCACCCAATGGTGCCGTTCAAGATTTAGTTGGAGGTAGCACCCTAACTAGTTTAAACAAAGGAAAATGTAGTCAGGTTTATGGAAGAAAACTCAGTCTCCAGGAGGATCGGAGAATTGGCGTGGGAGCCATACACCTGTGATGCAAACCACCAGGTCGTTTGCATCAGCGATGCAATGCCTTTTCTACCAAGCACAGTCACCCTGGCGCTAGGCCGAGGCACTGCCACTAGGCCCTCTCTGGCCCCGTTGGCCAAGATAAACTCTGCAATACCCACCTCATCTTTCAGAGCTCCCATGTAGGGGGCTCAACAGGGCATCATAAGAGATGGAGCTTGGGTCACATACCTGCATCTTAACCCCCAAAAGAGCTGTTCTTTTAAGGGGCTGGCCTAGACTCAAGCTGGACCTAAGGAAGAAAACTCGTGGTTCCAGGGAACCAAGACAAAGAAAGATAACACTGGGTATCATCACAAGGCCTCAAGGAGAGCCTGGTGCTAGGGCTTCCGAGTGGCGAGCTGAGCGCATCCCTATGCTGCAGACACCAGGTTGGGGCTTTTGTAGACAGAAGTGTTCCAGGCATCCTAAAACAGATGGGCTGCTGTGTTGCTAGATGCTGGTGGTTGGCGGCCTGGACCGGGTGTATGAGATCGGGCGCCAGTTCCGGAACGAAGGCATCGACTTGACTCACAATCCCGAGTTCACCACTTGTGAGTTCTACATGGCCTATGCCGACTACCACGATCTCATGGAAATTACGGAGAAGATGGTCTCAGGTGACCCTCCCGCCTCCCTCTCCCTGGGGCACAGGTCCAGGGGCTGCTCCCCTAGGAGGGCTGGTGGGGCTCCCGCTGTGCTTCTTGACTCGGTTTCTCTCCCAGGGATGGTGAAACACATCACAGGCGGGTACAAGGTCACCTACCATCCCGAGGGCCCCGAGGGCCAGGCCTATGAGATTGACTTCACCCCACCCTTCCGACGAATTAGCATGGTAGAGGAGCTGGAGAGGGTGCTGGGTGTGAAGCTGCCAGAAACGAGCCACTTTGAAACGGAAGGTAATGCCCAGCACCCCTCCTGCCCGGTCAGCTCCGGCTGGCTGGCCCTGGACGCGCGGTTCCGCCCTCCTCCCTCTACTCTCCTCTCTGGGGGCTTTTCTGCTATGGGACAGTGTGAGGTGTCCTGTTGGAACTCACTCTGTGCGTTACAGAAACTCGGAAACTCCTGGACGACATCTGTGTCAACAAAGCTGTTGAATGCCCTCCTCCTCGGACTACAGCCAGGCTCCTTGATAAGGTGAGAGGCCATGCTCTGTCCTCCCCGTGGGACCGGGCCCCTGCTCCCTGGGAACACAAACCCCGCGGGGAGAACTAGCTTTTGTAGAGCCACAGCCTTCACGAGGTGGGGCTTCTGGGTGCCCTCCCACTTGGGTGGGAGCTGAGTCCTCCTCTGCCCAGGCCGGGGTGACCAAGCGATGCAGCCGGGACTGAGGCTGCTGGTGGTGTCCTCTAGCTCCGCTTTGCTCTTTCCTAAAGCTTGTTGGCGAGTTCCTGGAAGTGACCTGCATCAACCCCACCTTCATCTGTGATCATCCGCAGCTCATGAGCCCCTTGGCCAAATGGTGAGAGGAAGCATGGGCTGCCCATGAGCTGGTGCTCGGCGCTAACTCCAAAACTCAGTGCTGGAAGCAGCTTCAATCTGCTCAGCCCCAAGGTGCCATGGGCAGACTGGGGTCTCTGCTCCATTTGGGGTTGGCCAGCATAGCTCATGGCTTTTCAGCCACACAGCGAGTGTTTGAGGCGTCTGGGTGGCACCGTGGGTGAAGCACGGAAATGCCAACTGAAAGTGCGGTGCTCCACGCCCACTAGCTGCTCTGCACGCTTCAGAAAATGAGGTCATTTGCTTCCATCGCCCTGAAGCCCCATGGGACGGTTCACCTTTTCCCTCTGGGGTTGCTAGGAGTCAGGATTGACCGGATGGCCATGTGTGAGTTTTGGGAGAGCGTCTTCAGGTCTCCGGCCACTCTCACTACCTCTAGATGGAGGAATTCTTGTGTGTGGAGCAGACGTGAGAGTGTTGGGGCTCAGTGTATTCAGGCTCCCCTTTGGTCTCCTGTCCCCAGGCACCGCTCCAAACAGGGTCTGACGGAGCGCTTTGAGCTCTTTGTCATGAAGAAGGAGGTGTGCAATGCCTACACGGAGCTGAACGACCCCCTGCGGCAGCGGCAGCTGTTTGAGGAGCAGGCCAAGGTAAGGAGGGGCAGTCGGCCAGCAGACACCCACCCGACCCTGGTCCCTCTCACCGCCTGTCATCTGTGGCTTCGGCAGAAACAAAGGGTAAAGCAATGCACTTCTCTGAAGAAGGTCGAATGTCGAGGAGAAGGATTACTATCCTAGGCCTGACATTCCGAAGACTGCAAAGTGGGTGATTTCCAGAACAGAAATGGACGGTCTCACTATTGTGGAGGGGAGGAGTGAGTCAGGACGTTGGCTTTGTTGCTTCCTTCTGGGGGAGGAGAAAGAATACTTCCATTCCTTCCTCTCCGCTGCTGGTGGGTCCATCCTTGACTTGCCCCTGCAGCTTCTTAGAGACCCTGTCTCTGTCATCATCTCCCTCCCTGTCTGTGTGTCACTTCTGTTGAGAAGGACGCCGGTGTTGGACCACACTTGGTTCATCTTGGCCTCGTGGTAACACACCGATGGCCTCCTCAAGCCCTCTGTCTGTAAGCAGTGTCGCGCTCACAGGTCTGAGAGATGCGCCCTCAGCATGTCATCCGGGAGGTCCCGTTCCGTCGGGGACAGAGATGTCAGCGTTTGATCTGCGTAGGGAGCATGACACTTCCCTTGGAAACCCCTTTGAATAGCAGAACAAGGGTCTTGTCTTTGTTCGGTCGAGCCTCCACTTGGGCACTTGTGAGCGTTGAAGAATAAACCCCCACAGCTGCCTGCCGACCCAACCACGGCCACCGACAAGTGCGAGAGAGAAAGTGGGGGGAACGTAGAAATCATCACGGGGTCTCACTGGAGGCCCTGGGCCACACTGAGTGGTTTTTATTTCACGGAAATACAGGTGCCTTTTAAGGTGGAGTTCGTTCGTCAGCTTACCCCTCTAGGTCTTTCAGAAAAGTGGCTTACTCGGGGAGTTACTGGGAAACCCATTTCCAAGAAGCCCCGAGAGTCGGACCATGGGGACCCTCGGGTGGGGATCCCTCCAAGGGCGAACACGTGCGCTCTGGCTCTGAGACAGTGCAGCTTGGCTTGATGCCATGTTTTGCTTCTCTCCTCTTCTAGGCCAAGGCTGCTGGTGACGATGAGGCCATGTTCATCGACGAGACCTTCTGTACTGCCCTGGAGTACGGGCTGCCCCCGACAGCTGGCTGGGGCATGGGGATCGACCGCGTCACCATGTTCCTCACAGACTCCAATAACATCAAGGTACACAAGCAGCCTCCAGGGCACCCGCCGCCCAGGAGGGTTGCAGACAGGGTGAGGTAGACCTGGGGGAGGGAGGGGAGAGGCTCTGGGCTAAGGGGAGGAGCAGGCAGGCCTCAAGAGAGTTGTGGTTTTCTTTCCTACAAAGTGTGGAAACTTGTATTCCTCCTTGCTAGATGAGGGCAGCTAAGTTTAGGGGAGCCTGTGGTTGGGAGGAGGGGGGGTCTGTGGTAGAATAAAAGGAGGAAATGCCTACTCTCCCAGCTGGGCTCTACGGATCTCTGGGTTTGAGCAGACAATAACCTGAGACGCAGGAGTGTGTCGCTGGGTGTGGAAAACTATTCCTGTGCTTCACATGCCTCTTCCTGTCCTGTAGGAGGTGCTGCTGTTCCCTGCCATGAAGCCTGAAGACAGGAAGGAGAATGCAGCATCTGCCCAAACGCAGGAGGAGAACACCCCGGTGGGCACCTCTGTTTAAGAAACAGTAGCTGCAAGTCACGTGACATCTTTGCCTTGCTGTGAAAGGGCAAGACTGCCGGGGCACTGTCCATGTGCGCGCTGCTCTGTTTGCCACCACGGTCGGCTCCGACAGCTGAGGCGAGAAGAGGGATCGAGAGCTCCTTCTTATCAAATAAACCACTGGTCTCTGCTCTTTTCTCTTACCTCTCCTCTTTATCTTTGGAATGCCAAACTTGATCCAGACTGCTGACCACATTCATTTCAAAAAACACCTGGGTATTGACTGTGATCTGGCAGGCAGATGCTCTAAAGGATCAGGGACCCTGTAGTAAACAAAGCCAAGCCCCTGACTTCGTGGAATGTCCATTCTTATTTGAGGGTTGTGGGGGTGAAGCATTGTAATCGCACATTTCTGATGGTGGTACAAACAGAAGGAAAATCAAATCAGGTTAAGGGGACAGAAGTGCTACTTTAGAAAGAGGTGGGTGGGAGACAGTGCTATCTTAAACATGGTAATCAGAAAAGACTCCTGCTTGGTGACATTTCAGTGAAGATTTGAAGAGAGTGAGCCAGAGAGATCAGTGGGGCAAAGACGATTCAAGGCAAAGGGTAGAGTTTTTGACTAACAGCCAAGGTCTGGTTGGGTTGGAGGGGCGAGAGGCTCAATCAGGCAGGCCCCTGGAAGCCAGGCAGAGGAGTGGAAGGAGAAGAAGCTGGGAGACATCTGAGCAGAGGGGTGGGTCTAGCTTGTTTTCAAAGGATTATTATAGTTGGCCAGTAGCAGGGAAAGAAAGGGAGTCCAGTGGGGAGGCTCCTGGAGTGTTCCGGGAAGATGGGTGCTAACAATGGAGGTTACAAATGGTTGGTTGCCTCCTGTTTATTTTCTTGATAGACTGAACTTCCAGGAAAGAGAATCGAGGGTGATGAACGATTTCACACCGGAGAAAGCTGAGTTGTCATTTACTGAGATGGGGAAGATGGGGTGCAGGTCTGGAAGGTGTAGCTCAAAGGCATTCATGTGACTTGCCTGCTGGATATCCAAGTGGGAATTGTCCGTTGGTTGAAGAGTGAATTTGGAGTTGAATGTATTTTGTCATTATTTTCAGCTCACTTTAGCCGGGCTAAGAAGGTGATGGGTGTGACTGAGGGTGACTGACAATGATGCAGCTAGATTGATGGTCACCCTCATCCCTGGAAGATGACTGCTGCTTTAAAGACAGAAAGTAGGGAGTCAGTTGCACATTAACAACGAAGCTGGGAAGAGAGGAATGAGGAGCCAGGGTCCTTAGCGTTGGGGAACAGCTATAGCCCCTTTCCTCTGGGAAGGAAAAGAAGGAAGGATGAGAAGGAGCAAGTTGGACTTTGGCTCCTGTAATATATGAAGAGTAACAAGAAAATAAACTCTTGCCTTTTAGCCTTGGAGATGGTAGTGGTTGCTGCTTAGCACAGGCTCCTGAAACCTGCAGATGGCTTTGCTGCCCATTCCTCCCCGACTGAATTGTTTAGACCAGTGCTGCCCAGTGCAGTAGCCACATGTGTCTACTGAGCAACTGAAAGGTGGCTAGTCCAAATTGAGACGTGGTATGGAGGAAAACCATATACCAGATTTCGAAAACCATGGAAAATTCAAATGCACAACAGCTCAATTTAAGAAATATTGGTGACCTGTTGAAATATCTTTCATATACTGGGTTAATGAGAGGGATCCCTAATAGCACAGTTGGTTAAGCACTGGGCTTGCCAGCCATGAGGTTAATGGTTCAAACCCACCAACTGTTGCAAGAGAAAGATGAAGCTATCTGCTCCTCAGAAACCGGGGGTGGGGTGGGAGAAATCTCAAATATAACTTAAGGAGAACATTTACTCGGTTTTGTTTTCATTTCTTCAGTCTTAAGACAAAAACACTTCTGCATGAGGGGGCACATAAAGTCATAATGGTGTCCACAGTTTTCCTGAGAGTCGTGAATTTTAAAAGGACGTAGGATTAATAACAGCACAATAAGAAAATGTTCTGAAATTGCACAACTCTTAATATGATTGAACTATTAAACAGTATGGTATGTGAATCATATGCCAAAAACCTATTTTTAAGTAAAAGACATGGGAGAGTAAAGGAAACACAAAAGCCAGACTGGCCAATCAGTAAATACTTCACAGTTACAGGTGGAACCACAGAAGCAGGAACGAGACCATGATTGGAACATGCACAGTACATGAGGAGAGCTTACAAGATTGGTCAGGGCCTTCCAACCAAGGCCGGTCAGGATGTGATTCAGGATCATGACCCCAAGAACAAGACATCCAAGCAGACCCCTAAGGGAGACTGCCCCTCCCTGGGCAGGGCAGGGGTGGAGGTAATACACTCCACTGGCACCCTGCCTGAGGTTAATACTGTGTACATCCCTTGTTAATTGTCCGAAGAAATTCCAAGCTCAAAAACCAGACTCTGTGATGGAGTTAATTCTGTCTCTGATCCTATAGGACAGGGCAAACTTGCCCCTGGGGGTTTCTGAGACTGGAACTCTTTCTGGGAGTAAAAAGCCGCATCTGTCTCCCAAGGAGCAGCTGGTGGCTTTAAACCGCTGACCTTGCAGGTAGTGACCCAATGCATAACCACCAAAACCAGGCGAGGCTGAATTCACATGGGAACTCTGAAATTGGATTTTGGCTTTTCACTGTTACCCATAGACTTCTGCAAACAGAGCTCAGAATATAAGCTCAATACAGCTCGTTGTGAGTTGGAATCAACTTGATGGCAGTGAGTTTTGTTTGGGGTTGGGTTAATACAATTTCATTTGACTTTGACACTTGAAGGACAGCATGGTAGTGTTATACTACATCATTCAACGATTCAAAGTCTATACGGAAGTCCTGCTTGCCGCCCTGTAATGAGACAGGTAGCTTGCATCATCTAGTGTGACTGCGTTCCTAAACTAGCCTCAGTACTGCCCATCCTGCCCGCGCCCCTAGCGAACTACAAAGGCCAGCATGCAGTGCGCGCAAGGGGCGGGGCCGGGAAGAGCAGCCGTCGCTCAAGACGTCACGTCCGCCTTGACGCTCGGTTCCGGGTCCCTCCCGCGGCGGCTGTGTGTCGTGTAGGTGGGAGGGGAGCGCCCGCGGTGTGGTGGGGTTGCGGGGCGAGGGGCGTGGAAGTGAGGGAGCCCCGGGGCTGGTGCCCCTTCGGTCTTTGACTGTAGTTCATCCTGTGTATCACGTCCCCACTTGTATCACGTCTATCACCTTCGACAGCGGGCCGGGCTCCTGTAGGCGAGTGCCTGGCTTGTGGCTGTGCAGCAGCAGCAGCAGCCCGCGGACCCCAGTGGAGACCCCCGCGGTGCCAATGCTTCCCAGGCTGTCTTCCGTCCTGTAACGGGCAGAACTGTGGTCTCCACCCTGGTTCCTGGGGAAGAAGTTCTTTTCTTCCGGGGGGCCGGGGAGACTTGCGGGAGTCCAGATCCTCTTCTGAGAAAGAAGTGGGTTCTTCAGTTTGTTGTAACTGATAGAAGATGGGGTCTTGTGGGCAATGCAATGCCAATTGTTTCATATGGAAAATTTAGCCCAAAATCTACAAGGAGGTTGATTGGAACGCATCCCGTGTATCAGAACATTAATTCCAACGGAGTTGCGTGTTCATTCACAATCAGCTTCCTGAATGAGAAGTGCGGGTGTATGCTGGGCTTTTCTGGCTGGCAAGTTGTGCCATCCTTGGCTGTTATTGTTTGGGATGTTTGACTTCTGGTTTAATTTTTAGATTGATGCCAGGTTATCTTCCTTCAGGAAATATGTAGCCTTGTGAAAAGTCCCTAGAAATAAAAAAACTCCATTTTAAACTAATTCTGTGCTCCGAGAAGGGTCTTCTGATCCCCAACCCCATAAAGCCTATTTTGTTTGATTTGAGATACCTACAACGGTCTATAGTAACAAACAGGTACTACTTTGAGATGTGCAGCAAAAATAGATATTAAAAGTGTGTTTGCTTTTTATGCAAAGAAAAGTGCACAATATCCTAAGATAAACCTTTTGGCTAACTTGTTAGGTATGAAAACCTCACCTGTTAGGTACAAACCCAACTTAAAAAACAGATTTGGGAATGGAACGCATTCCTAATCTGGGAGCTGCCTGTATATAATTTGGCATTTCCCTAACGTCCAGATCACATAATATCCTATTTCACAAAATGTATTCCGAATGTTAGTGACTGTATTTTTGACCACGATGACCAGCTATGATGGCAGACTGGCATACCACGATGCTGGTGCTCATAGACATGTCAGCCTCCAGACGCTCCTTGGGTCCCAACGAATAACACCTAGCCCCTTTTACTTCACATGGGTGTGTGTGTGTGGTGTGTGTGTGTGTGTCATGTGTAGCCACGCCCATCTCCCTCTGAAGCTCATCCACTAAATGGTTTTTCATACCAGGATGATCCAAGGAGCATTAGGAGTGGCGAGATTGGGAGAGTTTCCCGCAAAGTGTCTTCAGCCTCTTCTAGGCATGATCTGTATAATAATTGTGCATTCGTGATTTATGTGCCCATTGCAGCTCTTCCCACTCCCACCCCCTCTACCCTGCACCAGGCCCAAGGAGCTGAAGTCAAATCAGGTGAGGAACAATGTTAAGTGTTCTTTTTCATAGTAACAGCCACAGTTGATAAGCCCTGGTGCTATCCTGGGTTATGCATTCGGCTGCTAGCTGCAAACTCAGCAGTTCAAACCACCAGCTGTGCTGGTGGAGATAGCTCAGGCTTTCTCCCACGGGCCAGTTCACCCCTGCCGTAGGGCTGCTCTGAGGCGGAATCAACTCAGTGGCAGTGAGTGTCGTTGGTTTGCTTTTAATCACAGTTGATGTTATGCTGAAAATTGTAGCAAGCACTTTCAGAGGTATTATTTAATCTTACCATAACCCCAGTGGGTTCTATACTGCTGTGGTCTCAAACAGGTTAAGTCATATTCATCCAATACATTGATCTTGGCAAAGTGGGCATTAGAACCCAGAAAGCCTAACTCTCCAAAGCCCACCCTTTCTTAACCCCCAACGTTCTTTTGTAATTTGAGTGAAAGTTTACAAAGCACATTCGTTGTTCCCTGCCCCCCAACAATTGATACATGTTTCCTGGCATTCCTTGCAATCGCCTCAATGTAACTAACAGCCCCCTTTCTGCAGGCTGGGTTCCGTTTCCAAAACCCTGGCAATCGCCTCAATGTAACTAACAGCCCCCTTCCTGCAGGCTGGGTTCCCGTTTCCAAAAGCCCACACTTAAGCACTGCTCCTGGAAGGGAGGGGAAAGCTGCACTCCTACAGGGAGGAAATGACCTATTTCTCTGGGCCCTGTGCTTTGTAAAACGTGTAAGCAAAAGGGTTGCTTTGTTGATGGCATCTACGGGGAGTCGCTAGAGGGTGAAGAGAAGACGAAAATTAAAAAAAAAAAAAAAAAAAGACGAAAATCCCTGAAAGAGAAACGAAAACACCCCACTTTTCCAGAAAGATGAGCCTTGTGCTGTGAGGGCTGCCCCATGAAAGCAGAGAGCAAGCCGTCAGGCCCTGAGGTAGTGCTTCCAAGTGAGAGTAGCCCCCGGAGGATCTTTCAGTGAAGATGGAAAGGGGGAAGGGGGACGGCAGGAGAAAGTGACCCTGAGCGCCCGAGATAGAGGGGCTGCAGGACAAACGCAGGTGAGCGACATCAGAGACCGTCTGAGCTCCTGGTGCAAGGGGGGCACCTGGCACCGGTTCTCTGGAGGTTGGGCCCCTCTGATGGTGGTGGTTTCCCATCAGGGCCTCAGCGGAAGCTCAGACCATGTGGACTGCAGACGACATCGCCCGGCTGTGTTACACACACTATGGGACCCAGCTGCCCAAGCAAGGGAAGCCAGAGCCGAACCGGGAGTGGACGTTACTGGCAAGCGTGGTGAAGATACGGTCAACCCCCAGCCGGGACAGGGACGCCCCTGACCAGCCGGTGCAAGGTGAGGCTTCTTCCCCTCCCCAGCAGAGAGGGAGGAATGATGCGTTGCTAGACGAACCATGAACCCTCCGGCTGGTGCTAACAGAGAACACACTTGGCTGCTAGCTAACAGGTGTCTTAGAAGAAACATCTTCCGAAAGGTCACAATCGCAAACCCCACGGAACCGGCCTCTGCTCGGACACACATGGGAGGCGCCAAATGTTGGAATTGACTCTCCAGCACCTGGAGACGCTGGCACAGTCATAGACCATAGTGGGCACGGTGTAAACCATGCTATGCCCTATCCTCCCCTGCCAGTCAGGTGACCATGCACCTTCTGAGGGTGGGAGACCCAACTCCTCAGTGGTGGGGGTAGGGGGTAGGGTGGGAGCACGGCAAACCTCTGGAGGAACGAGCAGACGAATGATTCAGCCTGAGATCATACAGCCCGGGAATCATTCAGACCCGGAGAGCTCACTTCCTGCTTGTTCTTTTTCCCCTCAGTGACAAAGGAAGTTGTCTCCGTGGGAACAGGAACGAAGTGCATTGGCCAGTCCAAGATGAGGAAGAGCGGTAAGCACAGACCCAGGGCTCCGCTTTGGGAGCTGGTGCCCACATAGTCCTTCCCTCTTCTCTTCAGAGGAAGAGCCTAGACACCATCCTCTGGGAGCCAGAGCCACCAGGAAGTGTTCCTGAGGGAACCGAAAGCAGGCCAGGGTGTCCGTGCTGGAGCCCGAAGTCCCCTGGGCTTCACTGTCTGGTAGGCAGCAGGGCTGCAAAATAGCAGGCACAGAGCCCTAAGCGGCTGCTGGAGCCCCAGGAGGCCGCTCTTGATCCGGGTGAAACTTGTAGAGGCGCTTTCAGGGAGCAGCTTCCCCCCTTTCTCCTGGTGTTGCCCCAGGCATGACGAAGCCATTCAGCAAGAACAGAGACTGAAGTAGAAAAGGAAACCGGTTGGCCTGCTCAGTTAAAAGGGCATTCAAGCCCCAGGCGCACAAGTCTGAGGGCAAGACACTGTGGAAGCCTGGGCCTCTGTCCTCTGGAGAGAAACTCCCCGGAAATCAGTGGTTCTCAGCCAGGGTGCAGGTGGTGACGGGAGGGAGAGGGAGTTTTCTGAGGATGGGAATGGAATCTGAAAGTTCACTGTCAGCAGAAGTTCAGGGCAGATGGAAGGGAAGAAGCAGACCACTCTGGGCTGACTAGCCACCTGCAAACATACAGATGTACTAGGCCAGGTCCTGGGCAGCCCTGCCATCGCCACCCTGAGCTCTGGAGGTTAGATGCAGCGTGGCGTGGCAGGCTAAGTGTTGGGCTGTTAACCACAAGGTCGGCAGTTTGAACCCACCAGCTGGTCCACAGGAGAAAGATGAGGCTCTCTGTTCCATGAAGATTTGGCTTGATGGCATTGATTGAATGTGGGATCCTCACACAGGTTCCCTTCCCTCAAATCCAAAAGAAAACACCCAGATGTTGTTGTTTGGATCCTAGCTCCTCTAAGGATGTCTGTTTCTCCTGTCAAGGTTACTTGTTTCAGGAAACACAGGAGAGGAAGCAGCCTGAGCAACATTCCTATGACTTGTTGACTGGGGAACTGATGTGGTCTGTAAGCTTTCGCTCAGATGACTCTGAAAAGTTCACATTTAAACATGCTATGTCCTTTGCCTCCTACTCCTTTTGGAAATGGGGTGTTTGCCAGGACTTTGGTCAGCTTCAGGCCTGGAGACAGCTCACAGGTCCTGGGTCAGTCAGACACCTCACAGGTCCTGGGTCAGTCATGTCTTCAGATGCCCTTCCAATACCGGGCATTCCTCCTCAAGCCCCTGGGACCTTTGGTTCTGCCTAGACACAGTTTGGGTTGTCACAACTTTTGGGTGTGGGTGCTGTTGGCTTCCTGTGGTTTTGCTTGTAAGGACCAGGGATGCTGCTAACCCTCCTGGAGGACAGAGGACAGCCCCCACCACAGAGGGTCATCCAGCCCACCGTGAGGTGAGCAGCACTGCTGGCTATTAGTGACGGGTACTCGGCGACAACAGCCCCCCAGCAGCTGCATGGCTATCCCAGGTGCTGGGACAATGGTGGCGTCCTGCTTCTAACAATCAGGGCCTCTCCAGGCCATCTGTGCCTTCAGCTCGGGCCCTGTCTTTTCCACAGGAGACATCCTCAATGACAGCCATGCAGAGGTCATTGCCAGAAGGAGCTTCCAAAGGTAAAAACCACTGCCCCACAGATTGTGATCTAGCAGGTCTGGGGTGGGAGGTCCAGAACTTGCAGTTCTAGCACACTGGCAGGTGATACCAATTCTGTCCCAGGACCACACTGTCAGTGGTCCTGGTCTGCAGAAGGAGCCCAGGTCCAGTAGCAGGTTATGTGTTGGGCTGTGAACCGCAGGGTCAACATTTCAAGCCCACCAGCAGCTCTGAGGGAGAAAGAGGAGCCTGCCTGCCTGCTCCTGTGAAGAGTCAGTCTCAGAAACCCAGGGCGGGTGTGTGTGCAGTCGTGCTCTGTCCTGTAGGGGCGCTAGGAGTCGGAATCGACTGGATAGCGGTGAGTTTGACGTTTCTAGTGATCTGCACTGTGGTCCTCATGCTTCAGAACAGCAGGAGGGCCCAGACCCAGTAGGTGGCAGGGCAGTCGGAGAAGTTGCCTTTCTAGTAGGTGCCCCAGCAGTGCTGAAGCTGCTGGTTCAGGAACCAACCACGCTTTGAGGAATGCTGGTCTAGACCATTCTCATCATTCCAAGTCACTCCCAATCCCACTCAACTGCAGTATGCTTCCCGCCTCTCGCAGCATCTCCCAGTCAGAGATGTCCCTCTACCACAGGGGTCCGCGGCTCCTGATAACATCCTGCACCCACTAGGTACCTTCTCCATCAGCTCCACCTGGCGGCCTCCCTGGAAGAGGAGAGCATCTTTGTCCCAGGGACTCAGAGAGGACGGTGGAAGCTCAGACCGGACCTCTCCTTTGTGTTTTTCTCCAGCCACACCCCGTGTACGTATACCCCAGTCTCCGGATGGGTGTTATATTGTCTGTTTCCTTAAATGTTAGCCGGAGATGTGTTTCTCAAGAAAAGCTCCTTTGGCTGCAACCACTGACAGTGCTTTTTTCTGGTTTCCGTGAAACCAGTCACATCACTGAACGAGCCCTGGTGACATAGTCGGTTGTGTGCTGGTCAGCAGTTTGAAACCACCAGATGCTCCGAAGGAGAAAGATGAGGCTTTCCCCCACCCCATAAAGATAGACAGTCTCTGGAATCCACAAGGGCAGTTCTACTCTGCCCCGTAGGGTCACTGTGAGTCAGAATGGACTCAATGGCCCTGAGTTTGCTTTTTGGAATCACATCTCTACCAAAGGGAAGGGTGGAGTGAGCCGAGTTAACTTCACTCAGACTAATTCAGTGCTCAAGAGGAGCTCTGATGGGGTGAAATTTGGGGCTGCTAACTGGAAGGTCAGCAGTTCAAATCCCGCAGCTGCTCCTTGGGAGAGAGATGGGCAGTCTGCTTCCATAAAGAGTTACAACCTCCCAAGCCAGTGGATGGGGCAGTTCTACTTTCCTTCAGGGTTGCTGTGACTTGGTGTGAGAACAGTGGTTTTGTTTTTGCTTCTTAATTCATTTCTCAGAATGAGGCTTTTGGAAAGCTGCAGGCTGAAGCCCTACATGGTTTGAAACCACCCACGGAACTAGAAGTTCACAGTTCTGTGATTGTAACGTACTGTACACTGATATTTATCCCACTTATTCATTCTTTGAACAAAGATCCTTTCCTAGTCAGGCACAATGCTGTGTACTGGGCACACAGCGTGAGTAAGAGGATCACATCACCTACCCTGATGAGCTCTCTCAGGAAATGTAGACAGGCGTGGTTAGTCAGCATAGACTCTGCTGAATGCAGAATGACATGGGGACCATGGACTACACGGGGGAGGAGCATCAAAGTCATGCACACACACCCCTGCATGAGACCAATTCCTGTGACAGGAAGGTGAAACACACCTCCATCCCCCGACCCTCTTTACTGATTCCGACGCCAGCCCTCCCTCCCGAGACACTCTCCACATCTCTGCCCAGCTCAGCAGTGCGTGGTAGCGGCCGCACGGCACTCAGACCATACTCACCATTAGAGGGTTTATTAGAGAAGTTAGCAGGGTACAATTCAGGGTCAGAAGTGCTCCGGATACAGTTCTTCCAGACAGGAACACCTCTCAGCCATGTCCACAAAATACACCTCTCTCTGGTCCTCGGCTTCTCAGCAGTTTGGACACGGCTAGACAGCAGTGGGTTTACTATGCGCCCCAAGAGTTTGTTTCTAACAAGTTCCCAAAGGGTGCTGGCGTGGCAGCCCTGGGGACCTGACTTTTGAAAACCCCTGGCTTGACGGGTCTGTCCGCCCACAGGTGGCGATGCCTCCATCGTTCCAATGCTGGAGTTTGAGGACCAGCCGTGCCTCCCTGTCAGCAGAGAGCAGGCCCTCATGGCAGCTGTCGAGGTCAGCGGTAGCCTGGACACTCCAGAAAGGAAGAGGACAGGTGAAGCTCCTGACAGTCTGAGGACCAAGAAGATGCGGCTGGAGCCTGAGACGCCGGCCAGGGCGGCTACCAACGGTGTGACTCCCGCGCTGAGTTGGACCACACAGGAGAAGGACCCACCCCCGCCAACTGTCACCAGCTCTAATTCTGACACAGAAGGGCTGGCCCCCAGCAGGGCCAAGGTAGTGGATGTGTACAGAACTGGGGCCAAATGTGTACCCGGGGACTGTGGAGACCCAAGGCAGCCAGGGGCTGCCTATCACCACGTGGGGTTGCTCCGAGTGAAGCCAGGCCGGGGGGACCGGACCTGCTCCATGTCCTGCAGCGACAAGCTGGCCCGGTGGAACGTCCTAGGCTGCCAAGGGGCACTGCTGACACACTTCTTAGAAGAGCCCATCTACTTGTCGGCCGTGGTCATTGGGCAATGCCCTTACAGCCAGGAAGCCATGCAGAGAGCAGTGATTGGGAGGTGAGAGGGCACGGCAGCGGGGGGGCGGGAGAATGTGCCTGGAGAGCCTCCCACTTCTAAGCGTGTCTCCTCAGGAAACTGTTAAGGAAAGGATCCTCCTCAGAAAAGAAAGGGACCCCCCCCCCAAATAAATAAAATTTTAAAAAGAAAAGAAAGGGACCCACAAAACTACCCAGCCACAGGAGGAGGAAGGCAGTGAACGGCTTCTGGTTGAGAAGAGGAGGGGCGGAAAGAGGGTTTCCGTGTGCACAGAGCCGTGTGCAAGGTCAAATGAGAGCCTTTTGGTCTCAGTGTGTATGCTTCTAGACAAAGGCCCAGGAGGATGTGCCCCAAAGGGTTGCTCTCTTTTTTTAATCTCTCCCTCCACCCCCACCCCCCCAAGTATTTCATCAGGATTCTTCTTTTTAGGGGAAGGGGCCTATAGGGTTTTGTCAGGGATGATGACAATGTTCTGTGATGGTAGTACAACTCTGAGCACATAGTAAAAAGAGTTGAATTACACTCTGAGAGTGGGTGAGTGGTATGGGCGTGCGGATTACTACTCGAAAAAAGCTGTTGCTTTTAGACAAGAAAAGCAGCTCCGCGCAGGCACCATGGTGCCCTGGGTGCCCTGTGCTCTCCGTGCCGGGACAGTGAGCCGCCGGCTGGCTGCTCACCCCCAGACCAGTGAGTGTCAGGTTGGCACCTATTTTGCATGAAAGACACGAGAGAACAGGAAGCTTTCATGCCACTGGGTAAGTGTGGTATCTGAAAGGGTTCCCCAGGAAGTAGATGTCGGCACGTTGATGTTTCTTCCTTTGTTTGTTTGTTTGTTTTTCTCTTAAGCTTTTCAAATCTTTCAAAGCTGATTGACCATGTCCCAATTTAAGAACCCACTTGGGGGTTCGAGTTTAGTCCTAGAGTTCTCACTTCGGAAGGGCCTTCCCCCAGCCATGTACTCCTGCCTTGGCTTCTCCGGAGCGCCCACCTGCAAATCCCCTGCCCCAGTAGACAAAGACACATGGGGCTCGTGTTGCTATGAATACTATTCTGCCTTGTGGATAGGAATCCCTGGGTGGCACAAACAGTTTATATAGTCAGTGGCTAACCAGGTGGTTGGAGATTTGAGCCCACCCAGTGATCCCCTCCCAAACAGCAGCCTGGAAAACCCCGAGGTGCAGAGTCAGTCTGACATAGTGCATCAGAGTCTGCGGGCTTGTGGTTTGTGTGTCTGGTATGGCTATGCCACCTTTTGTCTCTGCATGCATCCGCGCGTGGACATTTGAGCAGTTTCCAGTCTCTGAAGCTTTGTGTACACAGCTCTTGTGTGAACAGAGAAGCGTGCTGAAACTCAGCCCACAGCCCGAGCTGCCCGTGGTTCTCTTCGAGGGGGCCGAAAGTGAATGCATTTCCCCTCACACCTAGGTGTAGCCACGTGTCAGCTTTGCCCAAAGGCTTTGGAGTCCAGGAGCTCAAGATAGAGCAGTCTGATTTGCAGTTTGAGCAGAGTCGAGGTGCTGTGCGGGTAAGAAGAGCCGACAGCCCAGGCCGGCTGGTTCCCTGTGGGGCAGGTGAGTGGGCATGGGAGGGCTTGTCCTGTGGAGCAGCCTGAGAGGGGTCGCCTCCCGCCAGCCTAAGCAGGCTTGTTACCAACCCAGGTCTTGAAACTGGCAGGGACCAAGTGAAAGGGGAAGGTTTACATCAGAGGAGCAAGCAGGGACCAATGCCACCAAGGCAAGCCCTGGAAAATAGGGACAATTGAATACACATATACCGGGAAGTTAATTGCGGAGGTTTTGAATATTCCGAAGAATAATCATGAATATGCATTGAGGTGGAGTTAGGATTCTTGGCCTGGAGTGGCTATTGGACTCCTTACTTCTACTTGTCCTGGTTGGTCTTGTGATGTCTTTCCTGTGACTTTGCTACGTGCCCAAAGTGCTCTTCATTCACCTGTGCAGCGGGCCAGATCTGGTTATAACCACAGACACTGACTTGCTGTGGTGGCAACAGGTTGTCAGGAGGGAAAGGGGGGCTAATTATAGACTATGTACAAGGTGCCCATTGTCCCACCCTGGAACAGTGTGGAGGCTCTTGAGTAAGCTGCTGGATTTCCAGGGTTCCACAGGGCTCAGTGGGTTATGGAGAGTCTCAGCCAGTATACCCCAGATGACCTCTGTCCTCCAGAGACACCCCCATTGGGTCACATCCCTGCTCTGTATGGCCCTGAACACTTTAACCTCTCCTGGTCTCTGTTCTACATATTCAGTTAAATGCAAAGAATGCCATTTATCAGGCTTGTTGGGAGCATTTACATGAGAACTCACACTTCCTGTATCCGCTGTGTCTCTGGCATATAACTGCAGTCCGATGATGGGTAGCTGCTAAAATGATCACGATGACTCACGAGCCACTTCCC